TACCACGGCGCGGGTTCGATCCCGGTTGTACCAACCAGCAGGGGTCGGCAGCTTTTTCAGAACAGCGCACGATTGGCTAAAGCGCTGCAGGGATGCAAATTGGGAAGGGACTGCTGGGAAGGGAAATTAAAAATGATTGCCTTGTTCGTTGCTCAAGCGCCTCCTGTTGTCCAGCTAGGTGCTCGTAAGTGAGATTCTGAGCTCGCTCATGTTCGGGTATCCTCTGCCCTCGTTCTGAACTTGCGATAGTTTCGACCAATGCGTGTAAAGATGCCGGGGCTGACAGGCGCATGCTTCGGAGGAGAGCCGTGAATGGTCTCTCTCTGGCAACAGGGAGTTGCGTACGAGCAAGCCTTGTACATAGTTCTCGGATTGGGCATTCCAGATTCAGGTGGGATTGGAGATGCCAAATTTATTTATTAATTAATTAAATAAATTCTATGTTCTCGATCACAATGCATATTTTTTTAATCTGGGTCAGATTTATGCAAACATTAGCAGGTTCAAAACTTTTCAGCATGTGCAAAACCAAAAAAAGTGGCTCACAATTGGCCAAATTATATGTTTTGCGCCGATCATCGGCCATGTTATTGGTTTTACATAACCTGAAAGACATCGCACATGCAAAATGTCTTCATAAATCTGACCCTATAATTTTTTAAAACACAAGCAACTGATTATTAATTATGATTGAATTCAGATTTGTCTGTTTTTGGGAGAAATTGAAGTATGTGAAATATAACCAATAATTTTGATAGATTTTACAAATAATTTCTGAATCATTAATTGATTAGGGATTTGCATTTGAGGAGTTGCCGTGAGTGTGATAGTTGTGTGTCACTGTGTGATTGCTGCCTGTTTTAAATAAGCTTGTATTCACACAACTGATGTGATTGATTTTTGTTTAATTGTTTTATTACCATTTTTTTCATGAAGAATGTTTATTCTGTGTGTTTATTTTCAGGACTATCAATTTACTGGTTAACCACATCCAGTTATTTTACATTGGTAAATATGTAATTGGCAGGCCTGATTAACACCCACTATGATTGGTAGCCTGAGTGGGTGATCGATAATAGATTCTCAAATGGTGGTTCGCCTAGTTAAATCTAATCAAATATTATTGTCTGGCACTGTTAAAAAGAACTCACTAGCTATAACTGTATACTCTTGCTGTGGAAGTGAACACTTGATCTGTTAGGCTTCTCCTTACTGTACATAATGCTGTCGTCCAAAGGTTATATAATATAAGTATGGAATCAAGCTCTCACATTTTCTTGAGAAAGGCACTTTATTTGTTGACTTGTAGATGTGTGGACCATTGCAGGTTGATGTGTTCAGGACATACTTTTCCGTTGTGCATGAATATGTGAGTGTTTGTTTTCAGAGTTGGTTCGTGCTAGGTTTTTTTGTCAGAAAGTACCATGACTTTATGAAACCACTTTTTTTTTTTTTTTTTTTTTTTACAGTAAAGTTAAGCATGAGCTTTTAAACTGTTAAATAAGCCTTTTTTCCCCTTATATTCATTCTCTGCAAGATTTCATGCCATAAGCTGCTTGACTCCCTTTAGCCATGCAACGCTATTGCATAACTCGTAATGTAGTTTCTATTTGCCTATTGCTAGGTGAAGTTTTTTGCATGTAGAACAAAAGATGTCTGTTGCGATCGAGACAGGACTCTAATCAGCGAAACTTCGTTAATCCAACGAGCACACGGTTATCTTCAAGCAAGTGGTGAAATTAGCTGCTGTAGCCACTAATTTCATTTGGAAAGGAACAGATCCAGGAAGCTGTAGATGGCAGGTTTATTTTCAAGATGGAGATGGAGCCATTGCTTGTCAAGTACGTGCTTGGCTTTATTTTCCTCAGTGAGGTTTGGGTTTCTGCCGTTTACCAATTTCATTTCTACAGACACAATGGAAGTCTTTAGTGCGCACATTATAGGGTAGAGGAGTGAACTGGCTACTGGTATCTGGAAATTGTTGAGCTTTCCTTGTCAAAATTACAGAGAAGTAATATGTTGGGACCCCTTTTAGACAAAAGTGGTGGTGTACGATCAGCACTGCACACTAATGTACCTTCCTAGAAGCTCCACATATGCTCTTATCTAGGGAGATTTAGTGTCTTTTAAATGACTGGCCACACCTTGGTGCTCCCGTGTGGGAGTGTGCAGTGGAACTGCAGTACCTGAATTGTGGTCACTTTGTAGTTCCCCTGAATCAGGTTGAATTGTGCTTCGTTTGAGATGCCAACACTAACCGTGATCATTGATAATTGGACAAGTCAGGTAGCTTTATTCAAGTTCTTGGCTCTTTTAAAATACTTTACAAACAAATAAACATACATTCTGTCATATGCTGTATTTTGAAGGTTGAGTGGGCATTTTTTTAAAACAAGGAATTCTTAAGGATTGGTCTAGGACTGGACAGATAATTAAGAGCACGGTTTTTCATCAAGTAACATGGTGGTCTTGAGAACTTACCATTATTTGTGTTCTGATTGGCTGAAATATCTCCTCAATCCTGGCCCTGAAGGAGGAAAGAAAACCATGGACTTAATGGGAGGAATGTACAAAAACGGCTCGCCAAGGCAGCGACTGCCCAACCAAACGGAAATCAAGGCCTGAAGGCGGTCTCTCTGAACATTAATCAGCGGAGAGACGACTTCTCCGCACAACAGTGAAGACATGGGGACAGAGTTAATCCTCCTCAGCGGAGCCCTGTCCAAATTGTGAATGCGTGCGGGGCCATCGCTGGCTTAACGAGAGTCGGGTCCCCGCAGGAAGCCGCGGTCGCTAGGCAGGGATTAGACCCGAGCCTGTTGGCACTCAGGAAGTCCCTCGCTGTCTTCGGGCTTCAGAGGCCATGGGTGACGTTAATGAGGCCATCAAGGAGGTCACACAAATCACTCTGTGTTTGTGTGCAAGCGCTACATTTCCCCGAAGATTGCCGTGCAAAAGTTGCGATGAATCATTGATGCTTCCAGATGATGTACCTGAAAATTGAGCAGTTAAAGGAAAGCTTATTTATGTAGCGCATTTCATACACAATGGTAATTCAAAGTGCTTATCAAATGATGTTAGAAGACAAATATAAATTGAATATGGAGTTAAAAGAAATGAGTATAAAGGTAAAGAAAGTATAGAAGTACAAAAGAAAGATTATATAAATAAAAACTGATAAATGCGCTAAATTTCTAATATAATCAGGTGCCAGACTGTTGAGTGATTTAATGCTGAGAAACACAACATTAAAATCTTTTTTGGAATAGGCAGCCAAAGAAGAGACTTCAAAACCGGAGTGATGTAAGCTCTGTTTTGGTGTTTGAGTTGTACAGCTTACAGTTGTCCAGCTTCCTTGTGATTAAGGCATGTATTGGCGCACAGTTAAACTAATTTTCTCACTGTGTCTATTAATTGAAGTCAGTTTGTCAGTAGTCTGTCATTCGTCCATTATGTCTCCGGTATTTCTTGGTGGAGCAGCCAGTCTGGCCTGATCTATTCTGGTTGAAATCATGTTGTGCCTCCTGTGTGTCTGACCTGGAGCTCCCAGGGGAATTTTTTTATTTGTCCCCCACAATGGACCTCTTTTCTCATTCTGTATGGAACCCTCTAATCTCTTATTGAACCATTTTGCTCAGCAAATACCCATAACTGGAGCGGTTTCTTCTAGTGCAGTTATTTTAGGCTTTTAAGACCCTTTTAATATATATATATGAGTGTCGAGTGGAGCAGCCTGAAACATCAGGATTATCTGTGGTCACACACTGCATATAGAAGTTCAAAAGAGCTGGGCATGAAGCTTATAGCGATTACGGATGGAAATCCGTGCTGTACCAGGAACATACCAATACGAAAAGGTCAACCACAGGAAGAACAAAAAAGCATGATTGATGATGAAACTTAAATGCCTAACTTGCATAAACACATAAGCCTTCTCTATTTTAGAGCCCCTAATAAAGTGTACATAACATTTACATAATGGTTCTTATTGTGGACATGCACTATAGACCCCCAAGGCACATGAGGCATTCCATTTGAAATCAACAAGTGGTCCCCAGTCCATGGTGCCTGATTTGCTTCATTTTCACATATTCCATAGTTTATGGGCCCAATATGAAAAATCCTAAATATGAGACTCATACTCCAAATGGTCTCCCTTCTACAAGGGTTCAAAAAAGTGGGCGTGGCACTTTTTCGGGCTCGGCCGTCTGTTTCCTAGCCATCTATAAAGTGGAGTATCTCCAAAACTATAAGAGATATGACCCTGATGTTTTGGGGACATCATCTTCAAGCCTACTACTTTCATTTAAACCCAACTTCAGCATCCTACACCCCATTGGTGTGGAGAGAATGGGCCTGGCCCAAGAGGCATTTTCGGACCAAATCTGCTTTTTTTTTTTTTTTCGGTGGGTCCTGACAGCCACACCCAGTCCCTGGAGGAACAGAATGAATATTGCTTTGAAAGAACCCTGAAGTGGCATCATTTTAATGCAGGAATAACAACTCTAAGACATTTACAATATGCTGAAATTTGGCTGTGCAAAGGGTCCGACCCCCGAAATACCCTATTTTTGGACCCCCTGAAAAGCACGTGGGAAGGGGTTAATGGTAATGAAATTTTTGTGTTAAGGGGACCTTCACAAATCAAAAATGCAGTAAAATCAATTTGAATTTTCTTGTCCTGTGTCCACATTCTCATGGAATTGCCCCTTTGCTTTATTTTACATAGTTTCTCTAGATGCTTTACTGATAATTTATGCCAAATTTTAAGCAAATCAATGCAAGTCTGTCCTGAGCCAGTTGGCTCATCAGGCCGGTGCTTAACTCCAATTTCTGTAGCATGAAGCGACTACGAATATTGCTACTTTCCCTGCATGGGATGCTAGTCCATCACAGGTTACCCCCTAGCTCTTGGGTTTCCCCAACCATTTGCAGGTTCTCCATTGTACACCTGGGTAGTGTGGGGCACTGTGGGAGTGAAGTGTTTTTGCCCAAGAACAAGCCATGGCTAGGACTTGAACTGAGGACCTTTCTATCTCAAGTCAAGCACACTTAACCACTGTGCCACCATGTCCCCCAAATTGAGGCCAACTAAATCATTTGCTTGAACTGTGATGTAAGGGGTCAACTGAAAAAGATTTGTGTCACTGGGCCAAATGGTCAGTGAGAGAATGCTAATTGTACATTTTTGCCAATTACAGCACCATGTAGTGATTCATTTTTTTTTTGGGGGGGGAGCCACAATATGTGGTACAAGACATGTAAAAAGATTGGTGTAAATAAGATTGAGTTCCCTAGTTATTACCTCCCCTCCTGTTTTTGGTGTCTTCGCCATCAAACACTTTGTCAAATTATTGTCGAAACGTGAGACGTACCACAAATCAAAGTAATAACTTATGTCTGGCATAGTCTCTGTGATCTCTGCCAAAGTGAAGACTGGATAAAATTTGTTGGAGGAGGTACAGTTTTTAATAAAATTAAAAATGGCAGAAAATCTAGCAAGGCAGAAATGACATCATGGGCTGTGTTGGGTTTGGCCTGACCTGAGGATTCTGCGGATGTTAAGCTTCTGAATTTTCTAAAAGCTATTCATATATTGGCCCGATGGTGGGACTATAGCAATGGTGCCGGAGATATTGAAATTGCTGCATGGGTTACCAAGACTGTGGGCTATTAGTGGGCTGAATTTCTCAACTTTGTGCTGTACAAATCTACAACTCCCCAAAGACTTCTTTTTAGCAAACTAATAATTGTGTATTTGGCTATAAGGAGCCACAGATGGGTCTAGGTCAGAGGTAGTTCTGAACCAGAGGTTAAGAATGGACTTCATTGCATCAGAATAAATAGCGTCGCAGCATCCATGTAGAAACTGGTACTCTCGTACACATTTGCAGGACAGCACAAAACGAACAATAACAATTGATGCTTTCATCCCTTTGGTGCTTGGCCCAGCTATTACTATTGCGTGCTGGGGGTCCTTATTACATGCATAATCAAATACCAGGCAAGTAGAGGCTTGAAGCCCATTGCTGGGAGAGAAACTTAAGTATTACTCTGTCATCTTAATTTTTTTTTTTTTTTTTTTTTTTTTGCAAACCAACATCTGTGAGCCTTTGGCATATTTCGTTTGTGCAGTAAGATAGCTTTTCACCTGGATCAGTGTGAATAAAGAATTTCACATGAAACCTGGAATGAAAAGAAACTGAAAGGGGCAGGAACCTCTGATCCCTTCCATGATCCGAGTCCAATCCAGGGCTGTTGGGTAGAGTAGATGCAAGCCGTACTCACACCTGTCCTCTCTCTCTGTTATTGTGGAAATGTTGAACCTCACATGAGGGCAAGGCTGTTGAATAAATAAAAGGTTGTTGGATTAGTTGAGATGGGCAATTGTTTTTGCCAAGGTATGTAAGGCCACAGCACACTGCACGCTGCGCTCTCGCTCTCTCTCTCTTTCATGCTCTCTCCCTCTCCTTTACTCTTTGTCACTGTTTCTCTCATTGCAGTTCAGTTCATTCCCCTTTATTGGCATTTTAAACATTGGTGTTGCCAAAGCACGGTCTTTGTGCTTACTGTTGGCTCCCTCCCAAGGGTGTGACCTGGACTTCTGACACAGAATGAAATTGATTGGAAAATAAATTGTCTAACTTGACACCGGCTCAAAGGTATCATGTTAATCTGAGAGTACTACTCATATTTCAAATAAGAAAATATATTTGTTCCAAGGTTGGTCATCTTGTTTACCAATGGTGTTCTTAAGATTCTTTCATGTTCTTAAACTTAAGAACACTTCAGCCTCCCAAGAATTTTTTTCAGAATGTACTCATTAAATTTTGCTATTTGGTCTCAGCTTTAAAAACTTCCATTTTATTTTCAGTAGTTGGCTCACCCATGAAATAATAGCTTGGCATTTTGTAAGGATGGATTACTCCTTTGTAGAAATTTTGAAGAGGGGTGTAGCAACCCGAAACGTAATAACGACCCGAAACGTGATAACCCGAAACGTAATAACGACCCGACACGTAATAAACCGAAATGTAATAACGACCCGAAACGTAATAACCCGAAATGTAATAACGACCCAAAACGTAATAACGACCCGAAATGTAACAATGACCCAAAACATAATTATTTTAATACATGTCATGAAACCTAAAGCATATTAACGGCCCAAAATGTAATAACATAATAACCGTACATACTGTATATATTTGAAACCCTGAACTTGCACATAGCCTACCCCTTTACCCTCACTCCCCCATATGCAGGATGGCTTGATCTATTTTCTGTGGAGAAACATGTATGCATTGGCTACTGAGAAAAGCACGTTGTGTTACTTTTTGTTGTTTGAAATTTCCAGTTTTCATTTGCAGTACCTATATTTGACCACTAGATGACAACGGAGTAGTCAAGTCAAATCAAGAGAGCCAAGTCATGCGATTGATCATCTTGGACACTCCTCTGCAAACTTCCATACATATATAGGCTGCTATCTTTGATGAATGCATGAGACAACTATGACATCGACTTAAATTGCACAAGATCTGAACTATAATTTCTAAGAAATGCAGAAATAGTCATTTATTTGAAAAGCATCACCAATTTCATTAATTGATGATTCACAGATCATGGGCATCATCACATTTTAAATGAGCAAAATTATGCATAAAAATTTTGGGCATTCATTACGTTTTGGGTCATTGTTATGTTTTGGGCCATTATTACATTAAAAGTCTTACATTTTGGACTGTTATTACGTTTTGGGCCGTTTTTATGTTTTGGGTTTCATTACATAAAAAAATTAAGTTTTGGGTCGTTATTTCATTTTTGGTTATTACGTTTCGGGTCATTATTACGTTTCGGATCGTTATTACGTTTTGGGTTATTACGTTTTAGGTCGTTATTACGTTTCAGGTTATTACGTTTCGGGTCCTTATTACGTTTTGGGTTATTAAATTTCGGGTCATTATTACGTTTTGGGTGGTTATTATGTTTTAGGTCGTTATTACGTTTCAGGTTATTACGTTTCTGGTCGTTATTACGTTTTGAGTTATTACGTTTCGGTTCGTTATTACGTTTTGGGTCGTTATTACGTTTCTGGTTGCTACTGAGCAGCGAATAATTTTGGGTGGTTTTTGCCCTCGCGTCCCTTGCGTGATTTTGTTTGTTACCAGTAGCCTACTTTTTGACTGGGACTTAGAAGGTTAGTGATTTGAGCCATAGCACAGCCTCAGTATGATCAGTGCAGCTGTTGAGCCCTTGTTGGCCCATGCTTTTAATTTTGAGTTGCTTTGATGTAAGCATCAGCTAAATGACTGCTTTAATGCAACCCATTTGGTCTCCAATTTTAGATTGATAGAATGAAGACTTTTGAGACTCTGTATGGACTTAAACTGAGAAGTTAATTGAAGGATAACGAGACAGTCTGTGGCAATATCCATTAATGGGCTACTCTGAATTAATGATGGATTCAAAACAGTTTTGACGAGAATGCATTATTAGGAATGCGTTTTCGCTACCACTTGAGTAATATACTGTATTAGTCCAGCGGTGCATGCCATTGAGGACGCAAAATTGAGTCTCGATTTGCCAGTTTTTCTCTCATATTTTAGTTTGTTCTCTTCTTTACCAGTATAGTTGCAAAGAACTCAGACTGAACCTTTTTTGTACTTTCGCTTGGTGATATAGGAGTGAGTGTTGTCCTTCCGCGTGTTTGTCCATCTGTTCGTCACGTTGCTTTGCCAGGCCATATCCTAAACTGTCCAATATTTCTCAACAAAATTTCATTTATGGATAAATCGTATTGTATAGATGTGCCTTTTCATATTTCTGTCTGTCCTCCTGTCTGTCCATCCCTCCACCGCATTTTCTTTCTAGGCCAGATTTCAGCCATCGATGGCAGGGGATCTGAGCATTTTATGCTTGTTCCCTCTGTTGGTAGTGGCTCACTGTGGGTCACTAGGGTCCCAGATCCTTGAAAATGGCTCGGTAACCCTCTCCAGCCTTATCAGTAACTTTATTATGTCATATATAATGTATTTTGTTGACGAAAAAGCAGGCAATTACTTTTTCACTCAAGGCCATTTGGTGTTTCATAACTTTTTTTTTTTTTTTTTTAACTTCAGTAACTGAAATCGCTAATCATTTAAAAACTTTAATGTTCACAGAGGTTGTCTATTGTATAAAATTTTGTTTGAAGACCTGATACAATTAAGAGTGACAATAGCAGAAAAATAAGTGGTGCCAGGTACAACAAACCCCGCCCCTTGCACATACTTTCACCTACTTGCACAAAATTCAATAGGGATCTATTCTGGGTCAGTGGCAATCCATATACCGAATTTGGGGTGAATCTGGCGATTACTCTTGCCGCTAGAGTGTTAACAAACAAAGAAACACAGAAACAAACGCACAAACAAACAGAAACAAACCGAACCAAAAACAATACCCCTTGCCCTCACCCTTCGGGTGGGGCAGGGTAATAATAAAAAATTAATCCGGAAGGATGCAAAATACATTCACTGCAGATGTTTGTAGGTTTGCAAAACCGTTGACTAGAGACCAGGATGTCTGTTGTCGATTACCCCACTCCCGGGATTACAAATCAATTGGAGCATGTACTCCTTTTTATTTAGCAGAACTCATATTGTGTTTTTGTGTTTGTCATACAAATGATCTGCTTATAATGCTTGGTATTGCCTCAAGCAATCTCTTTTTTTTTTTTTTTTTTTTTTCTCTGTGTTACAGCACTGTCATGTGGTGTTTGACCTCTGACCCCTGACCCAGTCAAGATGCTCAAAAGCCTCTGAAGCACAGACTCTGAGATGAAGACGACGCGGCACAGCTATCGCCATAGTCCCATTTTAAACCGACAATCGGACACCTGTCTGTTGCTCCGCCCTCTCCTGCTGCCCCAATCCCTGGCCCCTCCCCCTTGGCCCAAGAGGCTTTTGTGATGCGTGTTATGAATAGCCTGTCTCTGACCAATGAGAAACAGAACTGCATTGGTGAGAGCAGGGTGGCTGATTCTATGACCGCACCCCCGCCGGTACCTGTCCCATGTGCCCAACCTCCTCC